GTTAGATTTTATGAAAGGGACCGGACAAACAAATATTCAGTAAGATAACTTTGTTTCATTATACATTTTACAGAAATAACCAGACTATTTGGTAGAGCCGAATAAAGAGAACTGGTACATAGCGTGCCACAAGGTTCCCAAACGACACTCCTCATTTTTTGAATTCAAAGTTTTGCTAGCAAAACTAGCATATATACTGGCCTAGCATATATATATATATATATATATATATATATATATATATATATATATATATACTCGACTCTCCCGTAGAATTCGACGTATGAGGGTCAAGCAGATCAGTTCCTAGGAAACCGACAGCCCGATAACAGCACATGAGATTTAATTATAGTGGTGAAGGTTTCGTGCAGGACCATCCACACTTTTTGAAGGGCCGAACACGGAGACCTGGTGCACTACGTGCCACAAAGTCCCCAAACGACCCTCGGCAGGTTTTGAGTTGTCCTTCTCCTAGACCAGTTGCCACCCAAGGCTATAGAACCCAGTCTGTCCTGATGTAACAGAGAGAGGTTGACGCACATGAATGCACACACGCAAATATAACGTTTATTGATTGAAGATGGAAAACACGATCTTCCGTGAAAGTTACAAACTGTGTCAGCGCTATTAATAGGAAAGAATCTAGAACATATGAAACATGAGACGGCTGATGGATACAGAATAAATTTCAAATCGGGTTGGCGAGGACTTGCTTGTAAACAAATGCAAAAGGGCAGGAGGCGATGTTTAATTTGGGTCATTAAAAAAAAATAGACGAAAATAATATTTTTGATAAAAACATATTGAAGTAAATTGGACCGGGGAGGTAAGATCAGTGTATGTTTACCGCTAGCGAAATCTGATCTAAACATAAGTTGTATCCGCTGAATTTGGTCATCGAAAAGACAATTGAAATGAACATTGAACTAATTAATTTTATCCATTAAGAGATTTGAAATAGATCTGAATTTAAACTTTGCTTATGGCGACACTCTTGTTAAGCGCGTGAACAACCTGGCTTATAACCTTCGGTTTGCTATATAAACGCGAGTTTTGCTGGGTTGGGAAGTCTTGGGCGTTAGACGAGAGTGACGTTGAGAGAGAGAGAGAGAGAGAGGGAGAGAGAGAGAGAGAGTATAATTGGTAGAGGAGTGGTCCTCTGTTCTTATGTTAATTGCTTTTCTATCCTTTCTGTAAACTCTTTCTACTGTTTCTTATATAAAAGACATCAATGTTTTACCCATTGTTGTTCGGCTTCAGATATTATTTCCTTGTTTGCCACATTCTCATTTTCCTGCCGCCCACCCTCACAGCCGTGCCTACATTCCCAATCGACCGGACAATGGACAACACCCCGCTTACTGGATCTAAAAACTAACACAACGTAGGCAGCAGGCGGAACTTGGGTACTCAGGGAGCGTGCGGCCAGCTACCCCTGAGTTCAGTTCAGACCGAGTGGGCGCCTCAACCTAAAGAGGAAGACGCCGGAGGTTGAGGGGCTGAAGTGACGAGTGGTAGACTGGTATTTACCCATAGCTGGAGGGAGAAGAAGAGGATTCACACCTTTCCCAAGGGTATTAGCATGTAAGTGAATGTAATGGTTTCGACTGGAATTCGAACTCGTCTCTCCAATTCCTCAATCCAAGCCGCTATCCATTATTCCACCGCACCTCTGTCTCTCTCTCTCTCTCTCTCTCTCTCTCTCTCTCTCTCTATATATATATATATATATATATATATATATATTAAAATATATCTTATATATATATATATATATATATATATATATATATATATATATATATATATATATAAGATAATATTTCTAATAAGCAATAATATATTTTGCCGTGTTTCAAAACTAATTTAAATTGATGGAAGGTGATTTTTATTGCTAATTTTAACCATTTTAGCCATCTTTCAGTACAATGGTCTCTGTTAAAAATGTACTTTTCTGAGAATTTATTTGAGGAATATTAGCTGATTTAAAATTTAATTAATCTGATCTGAAACAAATATTACTTACTTTTAGTTTAAAATATCGCAGAAATACATTTTTCCTTAACACGGATGTAGTATTTTGATTAGATGTTAACAGTTTAACAACTGGAAGTATATCTAATTTTTTCTACAGGGGTCATATATGTAAAAATTACTTTATATAAATACATATGTATATATACTTATATAAGGAATATAACGTACGCGTCTTTAATTATATAATTTTTAATTATGCAAAAATCTTAAAAATTTAGGAAAATATTCTCCGTAATCTAATGTTTTATTGTATTTTAGGTACTTTGGCTTTAAACTTACTGTGGTTACCGCTATAATTTTCTGATAATGTAGTATATGGATGTCCGTAATTACAAAAATCATCACGTTTATACAGATAAAAAAATTCTAAATTCTTTTTAAAATATTGGATGTCACTGAATTGTAGTAAGCATTTCTATTTATTATTAGTAAATATATATTTACTTAATAACACTATCACCTAACCGGTACAAATTAATGTAGAAAATTAAAAGATTTAAAATTGTTTAAATTATAATTTTAAAACAACTGAAAACAATTCTTTTAAAAATTCATTATTGATTGAAAAAAAAAAAAAATTTAACGGTGTTCATAATATATCTTAAAAGTAATAAAAGCTTTTCTAAGTAAATAATGTCTTAGTTTTATTGCATTTCTTAATTTAAGATGTAGACAGATTTTTGGTAACTGGGGGTTTAAAAAAAAGAGGGGGGATTTTAAAGAACCTTCTTGTGATTGATTTTGATAACATTAACTGCCTCTGTGTTTGTGTGTGTGTGTTAGTGTGTGTGTGTGTGTTAATGTGTGTGCTTGTGATGAGTTCGTGAACGAAGATTTTTGATGGTTACTGTTACAAGCTCTCTCTCATTGGTTGCAAAGAACAAGTAGACCTATCTCATGCTACCGCTGGATGTTTTAAAATGGAGAACGGGCGTTATCGTTTTCACTCTTTAAAACGGGTGTTTATGTGTTGCGATCCATCGAGGTGAGACACGGGCAATAAAGTTTCATCGGCATAGGTTTTATGTTAATGTTTTCTTCTCCTAAGTCGATATCCAAGCTACGTGTAAGGTTTTGTCAATTGTCCGAAGGAGCATTCTGTTAACTTGGGTAGATAGAAGTTTATGTCTAATCTCATAAAAAAGAATGTCGTTTATTTATTTTTCGAACTTAAGTAACAAATTTTTATCTTGTGTCTTCATTACTTTGTAATGTGAGAATTTGAGTGAAATTTTCAAAATTTATAAGCACAGTAATACGAGCGTACCGACATATAAGGTTTTTGAGATACGAGCCGGAGTTCGGCCGATTTTTTGCTCTGAGATACGAGCTGAATTTTGAGACATGAGCGAGTTTCAGTTAAGTATCCTCGAGTTGGCAAAATGAGCACTAAACTTCGAGAGTATTTCCACTCGTAGTAGAGGTGTTCACCTCGCTCTGGAAGGATCTCTGTTGTGTTGTATCTTTTTTGCTATTATTTTGAAAAAAAATTCCTTTACTGACACCATAGCTCCGCAGAAAATAAGTGTAAAGAGCAGCGTTGAAAAGCCAAAACATATGATTTCGCTTGAGGTAAAGCAGGAAAGTTTTGGCTTTTCAACGCTGCTCTTTTACACTTATTTTTCTGCGGAGCTATAAAGGTATATATATATATATATATATATATATATATATATATATATATATATATATATATATATATATATATATATACTTTCCCTTTTACCTCAAGCGAAATCATATGTTTTGGCTTTTCAACATATATATATCAAATGTTTTGGCTTTTCAACATTTATATATATATATATATATATATATATATATATATATAAAACATAAGAAAGACGTAAGAGTAATGGATTTGGCGAGACAGTATGACCGTTCTACACTGATAATAAATAAAAATTATAAAATTTAAAAAAAAGAAAATTAGTTACAGTAATGGATAAAATGTAAATGTTTTAAAAAAATTTAAAAATTAAGTGATGAAGTTAATCTTCTGTGTCGTAGACTAAGCTTGTCGTTGCTAGGCGAGGTTATCGGTTGCTAAGCTAGGTTATCGGTTGCTAGGCTAGCTGTTGTTGTCCCCACTCTTTGTCTTTCTCTTCCGCCAGTTGGTCTGTAATTCGTCTGGATTTCATGGTTTAGTACTGTTTATTTCTTTAAAATTTGTTTTTTCTCTTTTATTTTATTGATTGTAAACTACATTTCTTGTTTATTAACACATTTTCGCTTGTAAGAAACCCACAAATACAAAAACAGGGACGAGTTTTAGGAAAATAAGTGTGGATTTTCGTAATCAAAACGGAAAGGTCCATTATTTATCTGAGGTAATGACAGAGTGTAATGTACGTACAAAAGAAGGAATACACGAGTTCCTAAATTTATATTTTAATCATTCCTGCTAAATCTGAAATATTCGCATTAATTTCAATGAAGAAAATTGATTTGAGATACGAGATTTTTGAGTTACAAGCTCGTTCTTGGAACAAATTAAATTCGTATCTGAAGGCATTACTGTATATAACGAATGTGTCTTTGTGGGTTAGTCCTGAGATTACACAAATAAATAAAACACTATAATATTATTAATAAAAAAATCTCTTAGCAAGAATGATTAAAATAAAAATTCTTTAAGTCCTGTGTTCCATCTTTTGTACGTACATTACCCTCAACCATTACCTCCGATAAATAATGAACCTTTGCGTTTTGATTACGAAAAAAGACGGACGAAATAAATGAATAAATAAACAAACATGGAAAGGGAACTTGTAAGAAGCGATAAGGTTATCAGGCACTTAACGTCTACTTTCAGTAAAATAGAACTAAGTAAGAAAGAAATGAGTGAAAATGAAAGAGACGTAGAATAGAGAAATGGGAGAAAAAAGAATTTGTGACGGTAAAATGAACATGTTATTTTTCTTTCAATGCACGTAATATATTTTCTTCAATATTATTTAGGCTTACGGCCATATCACGTGAAAACACCGGTTTCCGTGGGATCACCAAGGTTAAGAAACGTTGAGCCTGGTCAGTACCTAGATGGGTGACCACTTGGGGATACCAGGTGCTGTAAGCCTGGATGTGCGGGTGGCGTAGTGGATAATGACTCGGAATTGTTAATCAGAGAGACGAGTTCCAATTCCAGTTGGTTTCGTTATATTCACTTACACGCAAATACTCTTGGGAAAGGCATGAACTCACCACTTTTACCCGCAGCTAATTAGTAGGACTTGTATTACTCAACCATTATTATCTCAAAAACAAAAATCTTGCAATCTAAAATATTTTCTGGCTTTAAATAACCTGCAAAAGGTCGATAAGACGTAAGAAAACGAGTCAATCAATCAATAATAATTAGGATTTTTTGACATATATATATATTTGTATATATTTTCTCATTATATATAAATACACACACACACACTCACGTACACACTCACGCGCACACACACACACACATATATATATATAATTATATATATATAATGAGAAACAAAATATATACAAATATATATATATATGAAGAAATATAGTTTTAGGGTGTGCTATATTTATGCCATAAAGTGCTCAATATCAAAGATAGAGCGTATGTAAATATAAATATAAAAGTGAACATCGAAGTCAACACTCAGAGGCGACAGGCTGTTTCATGATGGACACAATCGCGGCCTGAGGATTGTGTCTAGCATAAAACAGCCTGTCGCTAAGACAAACTTTATATATATAAATTTTAGAATAAAGAGTTTGTTATTTGAACTAAAGTCTTATAAATGTCAGTGATTATAGTGGCCGAGTCGTTAGAACGTTCGCATTCTGACCATAAGACCCGAGTTCGAATCTCACCATGGTCGATTTTATTAGAGTTAGTCCCAGCATATTACGGGTTGACCCAAAGCCTTGTGTGTGTGGTAGACGGAACCCTTGGCCAGAAACCTGGTACGATGTTTACACCAGAACGAGATGTGACACAAGGTCGTTTTAAAGTGGGGACCCGAGCGCGTACACTCGGGCAAGGGACAAAAATTCCCCGCAACCGCCGCCGGTTGCTCTGGATTCGGTGCGAGCACCGATCCCTCCCTCTTGTGTAATGGGAGGGCGCGATCTCGGCAGCTGTTGCCCAAGGCTGGGCACTTCTCAGTATTATTGTCCTCAGTTTCCCCTCTGTCCTTTGACAGAAAAGCCTCTGAGCGCACTCTCTCCAAACACAGGGACGCAACTGAGAGATGATAAGTCATGCGTTACAAATCCTTCCAAGGAGGAATTTTCGCAAAACCTAGCACGAAGTCACATGTCATCGTAGCTGAAGACTTAAGCGTGCTGGCCTTGTTCAAATTGTTGATAACGCGCTCTTTCCCAGAAACTGTACCTAAGTATAAGCTGTTCTGTGAGTGTTGAAACACAAATGCACCCTAGTAGACGGGTATCCTCGAATACGAGTAGCCAGCTATACATGCAATTTATACAGTGAAATTCTTTAAATAATGACCTGCATTCATGGTTATGGTTGTTATTGCCATATTGCCAAAGTTGATAAACTCAAACATTTAACGATGCAACAATGTGATTTCCACATAGAAATCACAAGGGGCATATTCATGTGTACGCTGGAGCCGCCACAATCCTCACTTACCAGCCTTGATAGAGTCCTTCTGCCACGCTTCATCTTTACAAGAATCACATCAGACAAAAAATGAAGTATTGCTACATCTGGGTTGGAGCTGCCCAATTCTCATTTCCAACCTTTACCGAGTTCAAAAGCATTTGCACGACTTTGGGATCATCATCAAGGATGCAGAAAGAAATTGAAAGTACTTGGGATATAAAAGCATCATTCTTGCATCATTTGATTGTAATACACGGAAAAAATATCCGTGAATATGAGCGGATTATGCTAAAAATAAGCAGAAATAATGTATGTAATTTATTTAATCAGACATGCTTAAAAGAGAATTTGCAGCCTAAATACACACACACACATATATATATATATATATATATATATATATATATATATATTTATCGGGCTAACAAACGTTTGTATAATTTTGACATATTAAGTCTAATAAAAAATCTCTTGTTTTCATACAAGAAAAATAAAATAACAAATCCTGCAGAAGTACATTGTCTGTCATTTTTAATGAAGCATGTATTAGAAAGTGATTGCTGAATAAATGCATATATATATATATATATATATATATATATATATATATATACAAATATCTGCGAGTGCGTCTGTGTGTGTGCGCGTGTATATATATGTATGTATGTATGTATTATATCATAAAGAAACATTTTATACAAAGAATTAAATAGCAATGTTAATGTGATTAAGGGCGAAATCCCTTCGCTAACAAGACTTAAAGAGACATTTACTTACTATGAATTCCTTGAATAATACGATCCTTATATTCGAGTTGTTGTCAGATGAAAGACACATGCCAAGTACTTTCGGCAATTTCAAATTGTTATCTTTGGGGTGCAATTTTTCTGTACATAGGCAAACACTATAACGATATGTGTGTAGATCGAAAGATATTTTTTTTTTAAATTATGTTATTTGTTGACTGTTGAATATATGTTTTGGAGCGTGCGATGTCGCGTCGCTAGAGTTCTTGTTCAAAACGATCAAGTGAGAATTTTGAAAAGTTATGAATCCGCAAATTTTTCTTGTTATATGTATTTATCTGTTAAAATAGATAAAAAAGTAGAGTAAAAATGTCTTAGTAGTTTTCCACAGAATTTAAGATTCTGATTATTATTCTACTGCCGATCACATTAACGTTGCTATTTAGTTCTTTGTATAAATTATTTTTTTTATAATATAAAATATAAGTTGCCCACTCTAATACACACACACACACACACACACACACACACACACACACACACACACACATATATATATATATATATATATATATATATATATATATATATACACAATTGCTGAAACCTCCTGACGAGCGGACGGAACGGTTGAAAAACGGTTCGTCAACGAAACTCCAGAGTCAAAGTTTTGAATATAGCATCAATGAGCAAAGTAAAAAAATGTTATGTGTATTAATCCTATTTATGGATGTAAGTTTTTGTGTTCGCGTGCGTATAACACCTTTGTATGCTACCGGGGAATTTCACTATATGATAATAAGCCAAATGCTCTTATTCACTGGAATAATCTGATGATAGAAACCGCTGAGTAATGTTGGGTAATTTTAGTTCCTCGTCATTGTACACCTGGGATCAATATTTATTTATAAAATATGATATATATATATATTATTTATAAAATATAATATTGCTCTCATTTGCGGTGGAGTGCTAGTAGCAATGAAAGCACTAAGAAAAGTTTGTAAGCGATACCTCTGTATTCATGGAAGCACAAACAGAGATGTTCAGATTTGTAATTTTGATTTGAACTTGAAGAGGAAGATCTGAGAATTCATCAAATTTCTCCGGGCATAACAATGGCAAAAATAACTCTCCGTTCATTTTTAGTGTGGGAAAACCATTTGGAATGACGGAAAACCGTTTAAAGTTATTTTATCTTTATAGAATGCCAATGATGTCACCTTGTCGGGATGCGTATCAGTGGTGCCGTATTAAAAAGTAATGCATCATCTAAACTACTTTACTCGATTGCCACATTAGACTGGAAAAAAATTGTAGTGGGTTAAGGGTATGTAGCTTACTATGTCGATGGATCACATATTTCATTTGGCGAAGGGAGAAATCGTCTAATTAAAGTGATAGGTCACTTGGTTGGAATTCGGAACTATTTTTAATAGGTTTTGTTGAACCCACTAAGTCGGTTTGGTTAACGAGATTTACTAAACAACGATTTTTGAATAACTCTGTCTATCTTAGTCACTTTCTCTCTCTCGTTCTTTTTCTCTTTCTATTTCTTTTGCAGATAATATTAAATAGAATACCTATTGTTTCTGAGTATTTATCGTAGTGGATATCTTAATAATGACAACCATTTATCTGAGCGGAGACCTTTATGACAACTTATCATCCGGCTCACACTCCTGTCCGGTCTTTTGAACAGGAGTAAAGTCAGCGCCGGTGCAAGTGTCTCGTGTTCCCATTGAATTTATGACCTGTACCCTACTCACTTTACTATATCTCAATTTTCATAAGGTAGTATTCATATAAAATTAGGTACTTCCAAAAATTTGCTGGAAAAGAGTATACCATTATGAAAAATGCACCAAACTTGATATAAACAAAATTTTATCCACCAAAATATTTATCTTATTATCAAGAGGAAAGATCAAAGTATTTTTTTTATTATTTTAATAATTTTTTTTAATACTTTCTAGCACATTCGAAATTTTGGTTAAAAATCTTCTTTTTCTTGCGACAGCAAGTGGGCCAAAGATTCCTATGGGAAATTTAGCGTCGTTTTTTTGCGATAAAAAATAATTTACTTGGAAATTCTTACAAAAAACAAACAATTGTCGGGTTTTAATGAACATTTTAGAACTTATTCACAAATGAATTAAATTAGTTTTGAAATTTTTTTTCCCAAAATGTTGGTAAAAATATTTTTTACATCTGTTACCGCCACTTAATTTTATGGAATTTCGAGAAATTAAAATTTCACCCTCTTCATATTTGTATTAGTTAAAAACAGAGCTCCTTGGAGATTTAAATCATTAATTTGTTTTTGTCAAACAGAAACATCATTTACCGAAAATCTCCTTAATCGTAAAATAAAAAATGCAATAAAATTATGACATTATTTAATGAGAAAAGCTTTCAATTGCTTTTTATAAATAAGATACATTACGGACATTATTGTCTTAAGTAAAAGATTTTTTCCATGAATAAAGAATTGTCTTCATTTTTTAAAACTTTAATTAGAATAATTTACTAAGTTTTAAATCTTTCAAAATTCTATATTAATTTCAGCCTTTTAGATTATATTATTATTAAGTGAAAACTATATTTACTAATAATAAATGGGAAAAGCTTAATACCAATCATCGAACACCAAGATTTTAAAAAGAATTTATAAATTTGTTTATGCGTACAAACGTGCCAATTTTATAAGTATGGGCAACCATACA